TCATAGAAATAAGGAAAATAATTCTGACCAGTACAGGTTTTTAATAACTTTGAGTTCATACGATTAGACTATATTTCCATAATTCTAATGAAAAAATATGAGTTTGTGAAACTGATGACCAAGATTAGAGTAAGAATTACATGAGACACAATGAACTGATGAAAAAGAGTTATGGGTTTTTAAGGTTTCTTTATTTCAAACTTTTGCTAGTTCTTTTTTTTTTTTTTTTGAGACGGAGTCTTGCTCTGTGCCCCAGCTGGAGTACAGTGGCACAATCTCAGCTCACTGCAACATCCGCCTCCCGGGTTCAAGCAATTCTGTGCCTCAGCCTCCGAGTAGCTGGGATTACAGGCGCCCGCCACCACGCCCAGCTAATTTTTTTGTATTTTTAGTAGAGACAGAGTTTCACCATCTTGGCCAGGCTGATCTTGAACTCCTGACCTTGTGATCCGCCTGCCTCGGCCTCCCAAAGTGTTGGAATTACAGGCGTGAGCCACCACCCCCAGCCAGCTTTTTTTTTTTTTTTGAAACAGAGTCTTGTTCTGTGCCCCAGCTGGAGTGCAGTGGCACAATCTCGGCTCAGTGGAACCTCTGCCTCCAGGGTTCAAGCGATTCTTCTGCCTCAGCCTCCCAAGTAATTGGGACTACAGGCGTGTGCCACCATGCCCAGTTAATTTTTTTTTTTTTTCTTTTAGTAGAGACTGGGTTTCACCATATTGGCCAGGCTGGTCTTGAACTCCTGACCTGGTGGTCTGCCTGTCATGCACCTCCATATGAAAAGACCACCAAACAGGCTTTGTGTGAGCAATAAAGCTTTTTAATCACCTGGGTGCAGGCGGGCTGAGTCTGAAAAGAGAATCAGCGAAGGGAGATAAGGGTGGGGCCGTTTTATAGGATTTGGGTAGGTAAAGGAAAATTACAGTCAAAGGGAGGTTGTTCTCTGGCGGGCAGGAGTGGGGGTCACGAAGTGCTCGGTGGGGGAGATTTTTGAGCCAGGATGAGCCAGGAAAAGGACTTTCACAAGGTAATGTCATCACTTAAGGCAAGGACCAGCCATTTTCACTTCTTTTGTAGTGGAATGTCATCAGTTAAGGTGGGGCAGGGCATTTTCACTTCTTTTGTGATTCTTCAGTTACTTCAGGCCATCTGGGCGTATATGTGCAAGTCACAGGGGATGCAATGGCTTGACTTGGGCTCAGAGGCCTGACACTGCCCACCTCGGCCTTCCAAAGTGCTGGGATTACAGGCGTGAGCCACCATGCCCGGCCAGAAACTTTGCTATTTCTTATAATGTTTTCTTTTCCAGATTTAAGAAAACCTTTGTTTCTTCTTTTAAGCTATCTATAGCTTACAATAATTTGGTAAAATATACTTTTGTAAACAAAAATTGAAGCATTTACACACATTTACCACACAATGGTTTTTTGTTTTTTTTGTTTTTGTTTTTTTTTTTTTTGGTTTGTTTTTTAATTGAGATGGGGTCTGAGACAGAGGTTGCCCAGGTTGGTCTGACACTCCTGGACTTAAGTAATCCTCTCACCCCAGCCTCCTGAGTAGCTGGAATTGCAGATATGCACCACATGACCGCACAAAATTTTAAATGTTTCCTTACAGCTATCTGTCAAACATGAAATGGTGTCTCTCTAGTTGGAACAACAACTCAAAGAAATCCATGGTAATAATACACAATGGCTGGGCTTCCAGCTAAAACCAACCCTCAAGCCTGGAACCTCGACCCTAAAGCCTGGAACATCGACCCTAAGTAAAAACAGACCCCATTTTTCTGCCCAAATGACTGCCTTTCTGGCCCGCCCTGCCCCTTATTCTGTGCCCATAAAAAGCAGACTGGCTGACAGAAAAAAAAGAAGAAAAAAAAGCAGCAAAAGTGGCTGATGCAATTGGTTGGGGATACAAGCTGCTGAACATTAGGGATGCATGTGGCTGAACGTCAGAGACAACAGATAGACATGGGTAACTTTAGATGGTGCAGCTTTGGAGGGGAGCCTGGCTGGAGATGGCTGGGCTTCAGGGAAAGATCACCTTCTTCCTGCACCACTCCCTTTCCAACTCCCCATTCCGCTGAGAGCCACATCCATCACCCAATAAAATCCTCTCCACACACTACTTTTCAGTCCATTCATGTGAACAGATTTTTCCTGGATGCTGAACAAGAATTCAGGTGTCAAAAAGGGCAGGTGCAGGAGGCTGTCACCCTGAACCTTCACTGAGCTGTAACAGCCATCCATGGACTGCAGGCTGAGTGAAATGAGCCACTCCATTTCCTCCCTACGAAGGGGGTCAAGGTCAAGAAAAAATCCTGTCTCAGTAATGAGGAGGACACTGTAACCTATAAATGGCATGTTGAGACCAGAAACCCAAAATGATGGCAACTGAGAGTAGTACTGATGTCGTAAATTTTTATCACACTCTCACTTACCAAAAGAGGGGGAATTGTCAAATAAAAATTATGGAAAGCCGTTGTTCGGACAGGAGGCATTAGCCAGGGCTAAGAGGAGAGGTCAGAGCTGATTTGAGACTAGCCAGATACATCAGGAAGGAAATACTTCATGATCTGGTTCATTCCTTGGAAATCCAGTGTGGAAATCCGTTACCCAGCAGTTGTGCATGTCGGGATAGATATGTAGGAAAAAATAAAATATATATGTAAATAAATATTTTATATGTATACACATATTACCTAAAGAGATACACATCTGAAAAACGAGTACCAGTCTATTTGCATTGTCTAATTACCTTGGATATCTTGGATATCTATAGGTCATTGTGAGGGGATCTTATAAATGAAAAATACAGAATGATTTTATTTTCTAAGTATACATTTTTAGTGTTTAATATTTTGTTATTAGGGAGATTCACTGAGAAATACTTGAAAGTATTGAATAGCAAATTGACAAGTTCACATATATTTACTATCTTTGTTTGGGCGGCTATAATAGAATGCCATAGAATGAGTAATTTATAAATAGTAGAAATTTATTTCTCAGAGTTCTGGAGGCTGGAAAGTACAAGATCAAGGCGTCAGTGGATTTGGTGTCGGGTGAAGGCTTGCTCTTTGCTTCATTGATGGCACCTTTGCTGTGTCCACACATAGCGGAAAGGGCAAAAAAAGATGAACTTGCACTCTCAAGCCCTTTTATAAGGGCACTCATCCCATCTATGAAGGTGGAACTTTCATGGCCTAATTACTTCCCGAAGGTCCTACCTCTTAACACTGTTGCATTGGGAATTAAGTTTCTACATGAATTTTGGAGGAACACAAACACTCAAACCATAGCATTTACCATTTTATTAAAATGTTCACATAATATTGTTTTATAAAAAAATAAAGATTTAGGCTGGGTGTGGTGGCTCACGCCTGCAATCCCAGCACTTTGGTAGGCTGAGGCGAGTGATCACTTGAGGTCGGCAGTTTGAGACCAGCCTGGCCAACATGGTGAAACCCTCTCTCTACTAAAAAATACAAAAATTAGCTGGGCATCGTGAAATGTGCCTGTAATCCCAGCTACTTTGGAGGCTGAGGCAGGAGAATCGCTTGAACTCAGGAGGTAAAGGTTGCAGTGAGCTTAGATCACACCACTGCACTCCAGCCTGGGCGACAGGGCGAGACTCTGTCTCAAAAACAAAAACAAAAACAATACAGATTTAAACTCACGACTTCACAGTTTGTGTAGGTGTGTGCTTTTTCGGTCTTACACTTCTTTCACCCCAAATGTTCACATCCTGTCGTATGTAGGTATCTCTTCAGCTTACTCAGGGGCTGGACTTTCTGTCTCAGGGCACTGAGCCCTAGGAAGGGACTTCAGACAACGTGTTACTGGCAGAAGGTATCTGAGTCACATAGCACCAAAATATGTTAGTGGTGGTAAATATTCAAGTTACTGGTGGCAAATATATATGAGTCTGCAGCAATCTCAATTCTTGCCTCCTCAGAAGAAAGAATTCTACTGAGGTACATAAGGCAGAAAAGGAGACCGAGGGAAGTTTCAGAGCAGGACTGGAAGTTTACTTAAAAGCTTTAGAGCAGGAAAGAAAAAAAGAGAAAGGAATGCTTGAGTCCACTCGGTCAGTTCTTGAGATCTTACTGGAAGCTGTCAATTACCCATTTCAGGTGTTTTTGTCTATTGGGAAACTGCCTCTTCCTGGTGCTGGCTGAGATCAATTATCATTTCAGAGAGGCAGTGTGACAACTGCTGAACCATCACCTGATGGTCACCTGACATTCCTGCCCCACTTATGCCTGACTAGCTACCTACTGTAATAAAGTGGTGAAAAATTCCAGAAAATTCTGGCTGATGCCCTGGCACACAGAGAGGCTCCTAGTTTATTCCCTCTCACTGGCCTGAGACTTTAAGAGCTACATTTCTGGCTCTAATCATTAGGAGTATCCATCTACATTGACTATATTTTATTTTGTCTAAGAAAGTACTTGATTCTTTTCTACTTTCATTATAGTGACACACTGAACTTTGACTTTATATTTTCCTGGTCTTTTTTTTTTTTTTTTTTGTATTCTCTCTCTAGGATGGGCTTTAGTTAATTCCAGTCACACGAGTATTTTCAGAACATTCTCTTACTTTGCCCTAACTTAAGTAAACCACAATATTATAAGAATTTAGAAAAGCTGTGCATAGAGGGGGTCACCCACCATTCCATGGTTCTCATTTCCACTTCGTTTCTCCAGGTCACATCTGAATCATCCTATAGCTTATTAAGCCTCAGCACCTTCACGGAGCTGGTGATTCTGAGTTCAGAGTCCCTTTGTGAGGAATACATGGAGAAAAAAAGTAATGTAGCAAGTACAGAGCTTGGGCTAAGATAGGCACTCAGAGTTCTCTGAGTCTGCAGAGTAAATGAATACAATGTAATGCACTGGAGATGACCAGCAAGCTGAGTTCTCCGTGTTTGTTTCAGTGAGTATCTGGGTCCTAGGCCTCATGATTGTGATTGTTGCTAACCACCTTTGCAGGAGTGGCTACATTAGAAACATCTCCCTGGGTGTTAGGCTGGCAGCAAACTTTCGGGGGTGGTAAGAACAGGAAGTTAATTCTCTGACTCCTAGGACACTCCTCTCTCTGCTTGGGGAAGGAACTTCCTGTAAGCAAGGCTTGGGACTTGCTCTCGCCTTCCTCAGCAGCCCTCCTCAATCTTCTCCAAACTCCCGTCGCCAGGCCACACAGATTCTCCTCAAGAGAGCCCTGTAAGGACATTGGTAAAATGTCACTGCCTTCAGGACACACCATGGGTGAGTTGGCCAGCATGAGGCTGGAGTCTCAGGTCTCCACAGGGCAAAAGGGACTGAGCCCCCTTCCCCACCTTACCCTAACCCACATGACACCCAGCCAATCTCCCTTTAGATGGGGGTGGGCAGTGGCAAGGGCCCAGGCCTGAGTCTTGTGGTCTTCTCAGGGCCAGGGTTTGAGGTATGAGGATGGTCTCCTGAGGCAGGGGTTGGTAAAAATTAACATTCCGGCCGGGCGCGGTGGCTCAAGCCTATAATCCCAGCACTTTGGGAGGCCGAGACGGGCGGATCACGAGGTCAGGAGATCGAGACCATCCTGGCTAACACGGTGAAACCCCGTCTCTACTAAAAAATACAAAAAAACTAGCCGGGCGAGGTGGCAGGCGCCTGTAGTCCCAGCTACTCGGGAGGCTGAGGCGGGAGAATGGCGTGAACCCGAGAGGCGGAGCTTGCAGTGAGCTGAGATCCGGCCACTGCACTCCAGCCTGGGCCACAGAGCTAGACTCCGTCTCAAAAAAAAAAAAAAAAAAAAAAAAAATTAACATTCCTTGGTTGTACACCTAGAGGTGGTAGTGGGGCCGGGAATAATACATCTTTAATCTTCACACTAACCATTCAAGGTAGATTGTATTACCCCCCACCCCCGCCCCAGAAATTTCTCAAGGCTTGCTTTACGGCCCAGCGTATGACTTATTCTGGAATGTTCCATGTGTAGTTTTTCTGTGCAGTGTTCTATGTCATTTAAGCAAACTTATTACTCATGCCATTTAAATCTTCGCTATGTAGCTGAATTTTTGTCTGCTAGTTTTATCTGTTACTCAGAGAGGTGTGTTAAATTCCTACAGTCACTGTGATTTTATTTATTTATTTATTTACTTAGATCCGTTTTTGCTTCGTATCTAAACATAGATTGGTCCATGTTAAGACATGCATACAAATTTAGAATTACTTTCTTTTTTTTTTTTGGTATAACTTGAAACTTTATTTTTAAAGTATTCTGAAAATTTTTCAATAATTTTAACCACCACCTACTTCCCTTAAGCACACACACATTTTTATCTTACAATTATAAGCCTTATTGCAGTACAAAACAAGAAACAATAATTCTACTAAGTTAGCCAGCCAATCAAACTACTTCAGTAAATAATCGTGCTACAGCCTGGAATCACTCAAACAAAAAATTCTTCTAGTTCTCTTTAAAGATATGTGTTTATTTTTTCATAAAATCAAAGTAATTGATTCAACAATACTAGCAGTTCTAGCGTGCAACAAACCATCTAATATCTAATGTTTAATCTTTTTTTTTTTTTTTTTGAGATGGAGTCTTGCTGTATTGCCCAGGCTGGAGTGCAGTGGCGTGATCTCCGCTCACTGCAAGCTCCGCCTCCCGGGTTCACGCCATTCTCCTGCCTCAGCTTCCTGAGTAGCTGGGACTACAGGCACCCGCCATCATGCCTGGCTAATTTTTTTGTATTTTTAGTAGAGATAGGGTTTCACCATGTTAGCCAGGATGGTCTCGATCTCCTGACCTTGTGATCCACCCGTCTCGGCCTCCCAAAGTGCTGGGATTACAGGCCTGAACCACCGCGCCCGGCCTAATCTTCTTAACATGTATATTTTCATTCCTATAAAGTTTCTGTAAAAAGATTGCAATGATAATAAAGATAAATAAGTACAGTTGTCCCTTGGTATCCACGGGGTATTGGTTCCAGGATCCCCCCAGCCTGCCCACCCACAGATACCAAAAATCCAAGTATACTCAAGTCCCTTACATAAAATGGCATATTTGCATATAACCAACACACATCCTCCTGTATGCTTTATCTCTAGACTAATACCTAATGGAATGTAAATGCTATTTAAATAACAGTTAAATTGTATTTTTTATTTGTATTATTTTAATTTTTTTTGTCCTAATATTTTTGATCTGCAATTGGTTTAATCCACAGAGACAGAGTCCGTGGATACAGAGGACCAACTGTGTTTTGTTACAGGTACTTCAAATAGCACTTCAGTACACCTTTGACAAAATTTTTACAATAGTCCAACTTTCAATATGAAACAGCTTAAAAAGGCATGGGTCAAAAATAAAGTATAGTAGTATCACTTAGGCAAATAAAGCCTCATAATCATACAAGCACAACAGTGTCAGGACTCTCCCTGTTTAGGTTGGGAAAGAGTATATAAAATATTTCCTTCAAATAAAATTACATAAATTGCTTAGAAAAATGCCAAAATCAATACTTTCAGACATACTAAGGAAAAAAACCTTGAACCTTATTTGAAAATATAAACTAGTTATTCCTTGCTTTTGTGTAACAGATGAGTTCTTGAAAAGTTTTGTATAAAGCAAATTCTGTAAACCATTATCTTGCTTGCACTAGAGGAACATATCCCAAGGAAACCTAAGAGAAAGTGTTCTTTAAAGCATGTGATTCTCCTCTGTTTTTGTTGGCTGTCTCTATGTAATAAACAGGCGCACCTCTACGTCTTTGGGTGTGTTACTCAGACTGTCATGTTTCATCTCTGTAAATTAAACCCAAGTTACTTAAAAATCACCTGTGGTAAAAGAAGCAAGCAGATCACCCCCACCTACTATCCCTCCTGCCTCCGCCTTCCCCAAAAGGGAGTTCTCAGATTATGATGCAAAACTTACAATTGTTCATTTATCCACATTCTCAACAGAGGATTTTCCACTATATTTAAGTATGGTAGGATAATTACCCACCTGTTCCTCTTTTCAGCTTAGGAACATAATGGTTAATTCCTTTTATTGCTAGAAAATGTCATTCCTGAAGATTTTATAAACAAAGGAAAATGTGAAGGACCATTTGTCATTATGAAATAAGTCCTTTGTAGTTTAGAATATTTCCCAAATCATAACAGTTGTATTTGGAATGTTACCCGCAACTCTACAAGCATCTTATCCCTCTACAGGAATGACTACCTTACTAATTAAAAGAAAAATTTAACAAGGATCAAAATAAAATTCTGTAGCATTAGACTCTTGCAAAAATAAAAACTAAAACTAGACCTAGTCATTGCCATTTGATCAAACTTAGAACAGGTTTAAATAATAGGACCACTCCATTAAAGAGGCATAAAAAGAAAAGTTTACTAAAATAAATGTTAAAGTCTTATGGAGATGAAGATCTCTAGAATAGAGTCTTAAGTCTATGACTACTGCTATAATTAATGAGCAAATAAATGACTTGAAATTATTCCTCTGAAAAGATAAAACTGCATACATATTATGAAAAAGACTATGGCACTTGGAAAATATTCCTGGTAAGTAAACATGGTAAATGTATATGGATACATCCTAGCCTCTTGTCTACTTTTAATTTATTTTGTGAAAGATGGCACTCGCTGGGGAAAAAAAAAAAACCTTAATCACCTGAAGAAGTGAGATTACCACATAGTCCTAAAAATAAATAGCTTTGAAAAGACCAGTGAAAAAATACTATAATTTTCTCATCCATATTCACCTTTAGTGTCTCTGTAGTTCTGTAAATTTACAAAAAAAAAAAAAAAAAAAAAAAATTCCAATGCAATTTGAGCCACATGTGGACAAAATTATGCTTTCATATGAAATGTAAAATAAATGAAATATAGCAGGACTATGTGCTGCAGCTAAAAGCGAATTTTTGCCTCTCAGTCTTTTAAGTATATATACAAAGAGATGGCATGTCTTAAGGAATAATCCCTTTAAAAAATGAATTTGACTAAATTATTTGTACAGCATCATGAATTTATACTTTTCAGTACAGCCAAAGCATATGTTTACAATATTAAAGTGCCTACTTTATAGCATCAAATCATGTTCTTGCCTCTGAAAATTAATTTGGCTGTTTCTAAAACATTGTATTAATTTTCTATGTATTTTACCTACTTACTATGCAGGACAAATACTTGTGAAACCATTCAATTTAATGCAGGCCTCTTGATAAAAATGCATTTTAAATAATACAGGCTTTAAAAATAAGATCACCAGAGACCACAATTGTTAGTGGTTGCGACAGTTTACATAACCAAATCCAAGGCAGCCACTTTCTCTTGTGGTCATTCTTTAAATTGAATAAGTTGATGTCTCTTCCAGTGAGGAGCCTGTCTGAATGTTTTGCCACAAACTGAGCATTCAAATGGTTTCTGCCCTCCGTGAATTAGGTAGTGCTTTTCCAGTTTAGATGGAGATCGGAAACTCTTAGCACAAATACTGCATCGGTACAGGAAGACATCATTTTTCTCCTGACGCTCTGAATAACTGCAAAAAGGATGGCTTTGCTCTGATTCCAGAAGTACATTAGGAAGACAGGGCTGCCTGATGCTACCAGGAATAAAATCCTGTGAGTCTGCCTTAACTCCTGACATTTGATTTGACGCTGAGACCTCGTATTTTTGAACACCAGGAGCCTGACATTGTTGGGAATCATTATAGTTAACATTATTACCTGGATGATTAGAAAGATTGTTCAAGTTTCCAAATTCTACTTGGCAAAGGGATGCATAAGGACTCTTTTCATTATGAATCTGTTCATGTCTTTTTAAGTGAGCTGCCTGTCTAAAAGATTTCCCACAAATATTACAGTCAAAAGGCCTCTGTCCAGTATGAATTAAATAGTGTCTTTTTAGTTTGGATACAGAAGGAAATACCTTCTCACATTTGTCACAAGGGCATATCTTATGTCTAGTAAGTATGTTTTCCCTTGGAACTGAAAAACCACACTGAAGTACGTCACAGTTATTAAATAATTCCTCACCTGATGAGCCACAGATTGACAAGTCTTTCTTATTCACCGAATTATCAATGCTTAATAAGTTTGCTGTCATAAGGATATCTTTCATTTTTTTCCCAAATTTTGGTTCTGGAACTGCTTTTGCCAAGAAAATGGCAAAATCAATGTTTTCTTTTTTTTTTATTGCCAATTGTTTTATATGTTCCATGTTTGCCAAGAGAACCCACAAATGTTCTTTGGGTTTGTTCAGAGCTCAGCTCACCAGAAATACGATCACGATTTTTCAAGAAACTCTTTTTAAATACGTTTTTCCCAGATCAAAAGTTATCTAATTTTTTACTCCTAGCACGTTTAAGCTTGGCCAAGATATTTTTTTAACAATGGTTTTATAGTTGTAGCTTCTTTTGAACCTGCTTGGAATTTTGCCACCTCTAGCAGGAAAACACGTGTTCATTGAGAATCTACTGTGATTCAAAACACTTTTCACACTTTGGACATTGAAAAGGGACAATATAAATTGAGTGGACATAAAGTGGATTATTCTACTCAGATTCACCAATATCACCATTTTCAAAACCACCCTGATTTGCCTTTAACTTATTAGGCAGGGGGCGATATTCTGTATGCCTCTTTTTTAATAAAAGAGCCCGAAAAGCCTTATTTCTAGTATGGATTTGTTTATGCTTCAGAAGTTTACTTTGAATCTTAAATCCTTTTTGACAAAAACAACATTGAAAACGTCTTTCTTCTGAATGTGTAAGTTGGTGGATTTTTAAGTGAGGTGACTGTTGAAAAGATTTACTACACAAGACACATTTAAAAGGCCTCTGACCAGTATGAATAAGTACATGCCTATTAAGTTTTGACTGTGATGGAAACATCTTGCCACAGATTGTACTTGCATGAATATTCTTTCTTCTCTTCATGTTATATGTGGGATTGGACTTACAGCACGGGTGTAATGCCCATCTTTCCTCTGGTAAAAGTATTATACACTCCATACATTGACTTTTCTTGCTTGGCCTCCAGCAGTCTTCTGACCTGTTTAACCTTATTCTGATAGGTTTCATTGTGAAGTTGTTGGTGCTTCACAGATGTCTTCAGATTTTTTAAGTGGCACTGACAAACACTACATTTAAAAGGCAGATTATGAGTTAGTTGATGCCTCTCCAGATGAACTAGTTGTCTAAAGGTTTTATGACACACATCACATTCAAATGGCTTTTGACCAGTATGAATGAGATAGTGCCTAGTTAATTTTGTTGATGGTGTTTCAAAGTGCTTGAAGCAAATATTGCAAATAGATGGCCTGTTTCTAGGTAGTTTGTTGGCTACCACGCACTGTTGAATCTTTAGCATTTTAAAATTGTTTTCAGCCATCATATTTTTCAGTGATATACTCTGATGAGCTCCATAGTGTTCTTACACCAATGTTGCCTCAAGGCTGAAAGTCTGTTGATTTTGTTGTCTTGACTAGTACCATTAAAACGATGTGAAGATTTCATGAAAGTAGGCGAACAAGAAATGAAAGACCTTAGCGGAATTGAGGCAGGTCCGACCCTCCCTGGGGGTCTTTCCACTTCTCAATCGGGTTTCTGAAGTCCTCCTCACACACCTGGAGCTGGCGAGGGCCTGGGAGCCACGCACCTCAGGCCCAGGTGCCGCGAAGGCAGTGCGCGCACCTGCTTTCTTAGTAGCTTCTTGTTGATGTGAACCTTTATCATTATGAGTTCTTTTCTCTAGTATTTCTTAAAGTATATATTTTCTCTTATTAATATGGTTATATAAGCTTTTAGTCGGTCAGTGTGTAAATGGTATGCATCGTGCCATTTTTCTTATTTTCAAATATTCTATATTATTAAATTTTACATGTTTCTTTTCAGGATAATTTGATGGAATCTTTTATCTAGTGTGATACTCTCGGCCTTTTAATTTGGAATACTTAAGTCTAATTTCTTTTAATGAAAATATAGGTATGATTTGGTTTAAATAGACCATATTACTACATATTTATTTTTGCCTGTTTTCTTTTTCCACACCTCTCCTTTGAAATGATTAATAGTTTTAACTATTAAAATTTTACCTCATTTGGCTAGAAAGTGAAATGTTCTGCCATTGTCATAGTGTTTATCCTTAGGATTACAATATATATCTTTGGCCTATCACAATTCAGTGTAAATTAGTTTTGTTATTTTTTCTTTTGAGATGGAGTCTTACTCTTGTCACCCAGGCTGTAGTGCAATGACACGATCTCAGCTCACTGCAACCTCTGCCTCCCGGGTTCCAGCAATTCTCCTGCCTCAGTCTCCTGAGTAGCTGGGATTACAGGAGCGTACTAACACACGTGGCTAATTTTTGTATTTTTAGTAGAGATGGGGTTTCACCATGTTGTTCAGGCTGATCTCAAACTCCTGACCTCAGGTAATTCACCCACCTGGGATTACAGGCATGAGCCACTGTGCCCGGCCGGTTGGTCACATTTTTGCCCAATTTTTGTTACATTAACATCATTATGGAATGTATGTCTTTTCTTTAGAAATGTTTTTTCTTAAAGTACACATTTCCTCCTATTATTTTTTGAGACAGGGTCTTGCTCTGCCTTCCAGGCAGGAGTGCAGTGGCTTGATCATGGCCCACTGCAGCCTTGACCTCCTGGGCTCACATGATCCTCCTGCCTCAGCCTCCCAAGTAGCTGGGACTATAGGCACATGCCACCACACCTGGCTAATTTTTTTTTTTTTTTTTTTTTTTGAGATGGAGTCTCCCTCTATTGCCCAGGCTGGAGTGCAGTGGTGTAATCTTGGCTCACTGCAACCTCTGCCTCCTGGGTTCAAGCGATTCACTTGCTTCAGCCTCCTGAGTAGCAGGGACTACAGGTACACACCACCACGCCCAGCTAATTTTTAACAAATATATTTTTAGTAGAGACAGAGTTTCACCATATTGGCCAGGCTGGTCTTGAACTTCTGACCTCACGATCCGCCCTCCTTGGCCTCCCAAAGTGCTGGGATTACAGGCATGAGCCACCACACCCCACTGGCAATTTTTTTTTTTTTTTTTTTTTTTTTTTTTTGAGACGGGAGTATTGCTCTGTCTTCCTAGGCTGGAGTGCAGTGGCACGATTTCTGCTCACTACAAGCTCCGCCTCCCGGGTTCACACCATTTTCTTGCCTTAGCCTCCCTAGTAGCTGGGACCACAGGTGCCCACCACCACACCTGGCTAATTTTTTTGTATTTTTAGTAGAGATGGGGTTTCACTGTGTTAGCCAGGATGGTCTCGATCTCCTAACCTCGTGATCCGCCCATCTCGGCCTCCCAAAGTCCTGGGATTACAGGCATGAACCACCGCCGGCTGGCTAATTAAAAAAAATAATAATTTTGTAGAGGCCGGGCACAGTGGCTGAAGCCTGTAATCCCAGCAGTTTGGGAGGCCAAGGTGGGCAGATCACTTGAGGTCTGGAATTTGAGACCAGCCTGGCCTGGAGGTCTGGAATTTGAGTCCCAGAAATAAGGAGAGGGAACAGTGGAGAAGTAGTATTAGATATGCTTACCACATGTTTTTTGTTTTTGTTTTTTGTTTTTGTTTTTTGTTTTTTTTTGAGACAGAGTCTCGCTTTGTCCCCCAGGCTGGAGTGCAGTGGTGCGATCTTGGCTCACTGCAAGCTCCGTCTCCTGGGCTCACTCCATTCTCCTGCCTCAGCCTCCCAAGTAGCTGGGACTATAGGTGCCCGCCATCAAGCCCGGCTAATTTTTTGTATTTTTAGTAGAGACAGTGTTTCACCATGTTAGCCAAGATGGTCTCGATCTCCTGACCTCATGATTCACCCACCTTGGCCTCCCAATGTACTGGTATTACAGGCAAGAGCCAACGCGCCCGGCCACGCTTACTACTCTTTTTAAATTCTCTCTTTCACTCTTCTGGTAATTAATTTCCATAAGTATGTCTCTCCAAGATTCATTCTGGATATTTTCTTCAGCAATGTTTTCATTTATCTGATTCTTCTTTGAGGCAGGGAACTTGCCTTTGACCCTTGAGCCATAATACCAAGCTTTTAGGGTAGATTTTATTATTCTCCAAGTAGAAGTGGGAATTGAGGGTTAGAAATGATAAGCAATTTGTTCCAGGTTACCCAGAATGAAAAGGGCAGAACAAGGACTATCATCATAGATCAACATCACCCAAACCCAAACCCTTTCTGCTGTGCTTGTTTTTTCCTTGGCTGTGAATGTTCCCCAACTCTCATCTCCCAGGAGGTGAAACCACAGTGAAGTCTTTCAACTTTTTTGGCACTGTGATATATTTCTTTCTAGATTATAAAAAATCACCAGCCTGGGCAACACAGGAAGACCCCATTTCTAAAAAAAAAAAAAAAAAAAAAAAAAAAAAAAAAAAAAAAAATCAGCCAGATGTGGTGGCATGTGCCTGTAGTCCCAGCTATCTGGGAGGCTGAGGTGGGAGGATCTCTTGAGCCATAGAGGACAAGGCCACAGTGAGCGGTGATCATGCCACTTGCACTACAGTCTGGCAATAGAGCCAGAGCTTGACTCTAAAAAATAAATAAATAAATAAACAAACATCAGTGAATTTTTTCATTATCCATTATATTTTCCCAAGATTTTTTTCTGGTATTCTAAGTGTTGATGTGCTGTTCTCAATTTAAGGTCACACTGATCAAGTTGCTCAAAGAAGAGCAAGATGTTCGGATATTTACCAAAGGAGATTGAGCAGTAGGTCTGAAAAAGTCAATCCTGGCATACATTCTTCATCCCATCAGCAGCAAGATGGAGAAGCAGCAATGCATGGTGCCCACATGGACTCTTCAGTAAGATAGTAAGTGACCAGTCAGCATGGCTGGAATGTACCAGCCGATGAAATACATAACCATGTAGCTGAATATGTCATTCTTTCCAACTTGACAGAGAGAGAATGACAGAACTCGATTAATGGTTGAGCAAACTTCATTGTAGCCCTGGTATCAGTGGATCAAATGTGTGTAAAAGACTTTCAGAGCATATGTGAACTACCTTTTCTCCACTTGCTCACAGCACTCCCTATGCTATTTCACCCTATAATCGGAAAGGCAGTTCTCGTAAACAAGACCAAACCCATGTTAACATGGAGAGAGAGCAAAAACCTCCAGAGAGAAGAATGGAGGGGAACATGCCGGATGGGACCTTAGGGAGCTGGTTCAAGATCACAGTGAGTGTCCTGGCAAAATGGATCTAACGTTCCGAAGGAGAACAGGGGTAACTGTGTTGGATTTGTGTAGACACTAGATCCTTTTGTAAGGGCAGGAAAGTTTGTAATCTGTCCTTTATTACTAGGAGTTAACATCCTAGATCATCTAAGAGTAAATTCAGAGAAGCAATGTAAAGGGAACAGACTGACTGCAGAGAGAACGGAAGAGGTCATTTACAATCAAAGGAGGAAACGAATGCTAAGGAGATAGAGTATCTCCACACCGGATGCTTCAGTTTGGCTCAAACTAAGGGTGTGAGGGGTTGAATTAGTGGGGTCCTTGTCAAAGGGGCAGGCCTGGTCTGCCTTAGGTAAACTCTTGTGGGACTTTATAAAAGAAAACTCATATTAAACATCTTAAATTGATTATTTTAAGAAAACTGAATAGTAAGAAAGGGTATTTAGGAAATCCATGTGTGCTTAGAAATAATAGATATTAGAAATGATGAATGACATAATAATGAAATACATAAGTTAGCAATAATGGATGTTGTCCTATCTTCAACTATTTTAAAGCCTGAAAGGAACATATTTGGGTCCAATTTTAATGTTTAATTCCATTATGTCAGTCTCCTTTCCTCACTCATTCTTTCTTTCACTCATAGGTTCCCTTCGGCATAAAATACAATGAGAAGTGGCTGCTGAATTTGATTCGGAACGAATGCAGTGTACCCTTCATCCCAGTTGAAGTAAGAAAGGACCATGAGGCAGATGAGAAAAAAACAGAACAGGTTGGGGACTGGATGAGCAGAGACTCTGGCCTCATATTTTATTTCTTTTGCAACTCTCCCTATAGTTTCACTATGAAAACATGCATGCCAGCTTCTTTGTGGAGAATGCCAGCATCGCCTATGCACTGAAGAATGTCAGTGGCAAGATTTGGGATGAGGATAACGAAAAGGTGTGTGTCAAGTGAATGACCAAGGCTAGCATTGAGCAAGAGGGCAGAGCAAGTGTGAGGTCTTACTTGAAATGGGGCTCAAAGTTCCTAGTGCTTACTCAGCCCCTCTTGGGTTCTTTGCAGATATCAATCTTTGTCAACCCTGCTGGTATACCCCACTTTGCGCAGAAGGAGCTGAAGTCAGAAAAGGTGGAGAAGATAAAGGTAATACAGACTCACGGCAAGTTGTTCACACAAAGCCAGACCCACCGCTTCTTCCCTACCTATCGTCCCCTTCACCACCTCAACTTCAGAGCCTCTGAAAACCATCTCTATACTCTGCAGCTGGCCATGAACCAACAGTGTGATGTCTCCCAGGAAGATCTGGATATCCAGAGACTCCCTTTTTACCCAGGTATGGCTGATAACAGTAATTCTATGGCAGATGAGGGCAGAGGTGTCTGTGTGAGATAGAGACTTAGAGTTGGCAACTTGGGGAGGAGTTAGTGCTGATGCTGTACCAGGCAGGTCCCTCTCAGACTTCTGATTTTCTCCTCTCTGCTTTCTGGAGACATGATGACCCGTGACACTAAAATGGCGTCGAATCCTGGAAAGTGCATGGCTGCCTCCCTGCACGTCCATGAAGAGAACATACCTATGGTGAGGCCTTAGGCTCATGCTGTGATTGAGGGTGAAAGTGGAAGAGATTAGCTAGGAGGCTAATTGGTCTAAGATATCCCCTGTTGGGGGCCTTCACTCTTAATTCTTAATTCATTCCTCATCATAGCTTTTGCCCTTGAACCCAAACAGCAACAAAGCCTACCAGAAGCTTGACATTATGCCAAAGGCTCCTGACATTAACAAGCTGAATTTCTTGAAAAATAAAATGAGGTGTAATACTCAGATCGTTCTTTGAAGAAAAAGGGGGAGGAGGGTTCATTAGGGTAGTGACAAGAGGCAAGGAAGTGGATTTGTTGGCAAGGGAGGAGACTGAGGGTGCAGGGCCCTCCGGCTGCTCTTTCCTGGGTCTATGTGGTTCTTCTGCATAATTGCAGGTGATGTCTGCAGTGGGGATGGACAAATGGAAAGGGACAGAGCCAGGAGAGAAGTGTGCGGACAGAAGCCCAGTGTGCACCACCTTCTCGGATAACTCCAGCAACATAAAGTCAGTCGTACCCTCTGTCACCGCCTGGGGCCCTGACCTGTGCTTGATAGTGCCCTTCTGCAGGAGGAGGCAGCACTGGTCTTCTGGGAGGACCACAGACCCTCTCCTTCCCCCTCGCCCCACTCCTCTCTCTGTGTCACTCACTCATCTGTGCTTAGAGGTCTCCTTTCCTTCACCTGACATGCTGCCCTTTTCACCTGCTCTGGTATGCGTTTCCCGCCTGTCTCCACCCAGCCTCCTTCAGCGTGCCCTCTGTGAGTGTGCACCAGGAAGCGGGACTTCCCCACCTCCCCAGGACCAGCAGTATTCAGGTGCTGGTGCCCTGGACCCAGAAGAGTCCTCCAGCCCAGTTCTTCATGCTGAGACAGGCCTTCCTGCCTCCATGCTGAGACACGGTTTCCCTCCCCTGTCCTGAAGGGGATTCTCCTTCTCTTGCTCCAAATAGGTTCTCCCACCCGTCCTGAGCTGGCATGGGGGCTTCCCTGCCCCATACTGAGGGCTGAGGCCCTGGGTGGCTGCTGTCATGCCATCTCTTCTCTGGCCCAATGCCAGGAGCTGGGCCCTCCTTGGGGAGAAACCTGGGTTTCCTAAGTCAGGGAACCAAAAGTGGGCCACCTTCCCGAGGCAGGAGTGGAAGGCAGAGGGCCGAGGAGGTTGAGGAGACAGGCCTCTCGGGGCGCTGCCTCTCCTTCCCTTCACAACTCACATTGTCTTGCCTGGGCCCTCAGAGGAGTCCTGGGTAGCCCAAGACAGGTAGCATTCTTCGGTCAAGGCGTCAGCACAGAGGGGCACAGGTGTCAGGGACCATCACAAGAGAATGCAGTGGTCGGGAGAGGGGGTCCCCAGACTCTGAACCCCATGCTGAGCTAGGGCCTGACCCTTCACTCCTCCATTTCCCATGCGCAGCTCAGACTGAGCTCACACAGGTGAGAAAGGCTCCAGCTGCATCCAGTGGGCCCCAGCCCAACAGGTGCATGTTTTCCTTACCTGCCTCGGTCCCCAGGACCAGCCGGGGGCAGTGAGGGAAAGGGTTGCAGCAGGGGCGCCCTTTTCTTCTCTCTTCCTCCTTGAACTCCACCACCATGGTAGAGCATCTTTCCCTTCCCTTTGCTTTGCATCCTGTTTCTCCCTTGTCTCTCCTCTCCTATGTCTCACCTGTCTCTCCCTCCCCTACCTTCACCCCGTTTCTGCCATCATCCCTCTGTCTTCCCCTTCCTGCCTCCTGAGCCTGCATCACCCCCTTCCCTGTCCCAGCATCTTGGGCCGTCCCTAAGAGCTGACCTGGTCTTGGACAGGGCCAGGCCAGGCAGATTGATGGACACCCAGTGAGGTAGCAGAGCCCTAGGCTCCCACCCCATTTCCTGTTCCCTGTGGAGCCTTCAGTGGGGACCTGGACAAAAGTGAGAGAGGGATGGAGGGAGGGGAAGAAAGTCCTGAAGCCTGGGCTCTCAATGCTGCCCAGGGCTGCAGGGGCAGGGACTCCGGAGTGTAGGTGGACACACTGCACTGTGTCTCTGATGTAGGTGTGATTGCTCCCATGAGGAGGACAGCTCCACAGTTTCACTTACCGTTGTCCATTTTGTTTTGATTTTCGGCAGCTCCATCCTGGAATTGTTCCCCAAATTATTATGCCTGGTAAGCGTATTCCTTGATCATAGACTTTCCTAATTGGGACTGATGCTGCCCCCAACTGCCCCAAACCCCTTTAGATATTGTCCCAGTTACATTTATGGATCTAACCCTTAAACCTCAAGGGAGGGGGGAAGGTGATACAGTCCCATGTGGGAACTTGGCAGAGCCTGTGGAGCTTCTTCACACAAGTTCATAACAGCCTTCAGGTGGCGGCAATCCTGACTGTAGTAATCTTGCCCATGTAATTTCCAGAATGCTTTCACACCTGATTTCTGATCTCACCCTCTCCTGGGTCTTTCCTTTTCCCTAATTATCCAGTGCCACCTCCCTACTTTGCACTATTGACTTCCTCTTGCCTTCCCCAGGATGGCCAGCAGTCACCCAGACCAACTCTGTGTGGTACTGAAGCCCACAAGACGTTACCAACCTGTAAGGTGAGAAGAGAGGATCCAGCAGGGTGGTGCATGAGAAAGGGGGGGTACCATCTGTGGTCCTGGGGACTCTTTATTCCAGGGAAGCTTCTTTGGATCTGAGATGTTGAAGAATCTGGTCCTGCAATTCCTGCAGCAGTAAGTATCCCTGGGAATCTGAGGCAAGAGAGGGTTAGGTCAGATGAGGTTACCCAAGTACAAGTCTGCCCACAGTGAGACTTTTAAGTCTCATTTGGCACCCAGGCCACAGAGATAGCCTATTCTCATTGGTCCCCAACAGGTATTACTTGATCTATGACTCTGGAGATCGACAGGGTCTCCTCAGTGCTTACCATGATGAGGCCTGCTTCTCCCTGAGCATTCCCTTCAACCCCGAGGACTCAGCCCCGTGAGTATTATAGCTCAGACCCTGGTCTGGGGCCGTGTGACTCCCCTGCAGAAAGACACCAACTCCTGGAAATGCCCTCGCTGGCCAGACCACCCACTCCTGCTCCTCTTTTTCTCCTAGGAGCAGCTTGTGCAAGTACTTCAAGGATAGCAGGAATATAAAAATTCTCAAGGACCCCTGTAAGTGTGTGATGGAGAAGACTGGGCAGGGTAAGCGGGTGTGACAGGAACAATCACACAACCGAGGTGTGGCAGCCCCCCAAATCCTTGCTTCTCTTCTCCTCTACAGACCTGAAGGGGGAGCTGCTGAGGCACACAAAACGTGACATTGTGGACTCCCTCAGTGTGTTGCCCAGAACTCAGCATGACCTCAGCTCCTTCCTGGTGGACATGTGGTGCCAGACGGTAAGTACCTGCTTCCTCCCTCGGGCAGGCCCAGAGAGCCAGAGGTGGGTAGGAGGTTAAGGGGGATCCTGAGCACCTGAGCTCTTCCCTTTCAGGAATGGATGCTCTGCTTTTCTGTCAATGGGGTGTTCAAGGAAGGTGAGTGTCTGTGGAGTCCCTTCCCCAGATCCCCCACTGCTCCCTCCCCCTGGCTGGGCTCCCTCTCAGAACTCCCCCAGCTTCCCTGATTTCGTTCCTTTCCTTCCTCTTGTTCCCTCTGTGTTTTCCCACCCCAACTCTGCCCACAAACCACCCTGATCTGACCTAGGTCCACGCCTGTCTGCCCTGCACAGCTCAGGCTTGCATTAAGGTCACAGACTGTGGAGTCTGACAGCTCTCATCCCAGGTCCTTACTCTGTGAACTTGTGCTAGTTACTTAACCCTTCACTTTCCTCATTTGCACAATAGGGCTAATAATAACCCATCTTTTGGGCTACTGTGATATAGGAATCAAGTGAACTTGTGGTTTTCACAGGGCCCCACACATGATAGGGGCCCTATCACTGGGAGCGGATTATTCCTGTTGTTGCCCTCCCCGTTCCTACCACATCCGCCTGACTCCAAGTGAGCAATTATCCTGGCCTGGCCCCCTTCTGTGTGAGTGTCAAGCAAGACTGATTGGGGAACACCGTGTGAACATGTAAAGCCTGTGCAACTCTAAGGCAATGTTGTTTGTTGTCTTTGAAGTGGAAGGACAGTCTCAGGGTTCTGTTCTTGCCTTCACTCGGACCTTCATCGCTACCCCTGGCAGCAGTTCCAGGTTAGTGCTGTGTTGTGGGTGGGACCACCCATCCCAGCCTGGGGCCAGTGGTGTGGGAATGTGGTGGTGCAGTCCTCGGGGTGTTCTCAATGTTGTAAAAAACTGACAGTCTAGTGTAATAGTTAAGAGTATGGGCCAGGAGCAGTGGCTCATGCCTGTAATTCCAGTATTTTAGGAAGCTGAAGGTGGGAGGATTGCTTGAGCCCGAGAGTTTGAGACCAGCCTAGGCCACACAGTGAGACCCTATCTCTACAAAAACACTAAAAATTAGCTGGATGTGGTGGTGTGCATCTATCATCCTGCCATTCAGGAGGTTGAGGTGGAAGGGTCTTGACCCCAGGAGGTTGAGGCTGCAGTGAGCCTAGATCACATCACTGCACTCCAGCCTGAGTGAGACCCTGTATTGAAAAAAAATTTTAAAAATGTGTGGGCTCTGGAGTCAGAGTATGAGTTCTTTCTTGATGCAATACTCACTGTGACTTTGGTCGAGGCATATGACCTTTTTGTAATTCAGAATCTTCCTTTGAAATTGGTGATTACACTGTCTATTCCCCTGGGCTATTGTAAAGGGCAAATGTGAGTGTAAAACCATCCTTGGGTTGTAGGTAAACCTGCAAAACTGGTGACGCATATAGGCAGTCTCTCCAAAGGTGGGCTCTGTGGGAGGGTTAGAGGGTACCAGCCAAAAAGCTAGGAGGCAGGCCCAGTAGAGGTATCGAAGAAATCAGGTTTCTGAACAGTAGGAAAAGATCCTTGTAGGGGGTGGGGAGATGTCCTTCTCTCCAGCTACCTGATGGCCCATTTTTCCTCCAGTCTGTGCATCGTGAATGACAAGCTCTTTGTGTGGGATACCAGCCACCAAGGGACCCAGAGTGCCTTATTCACCCTAGTGCCCACAGCCTTCTCCAGAGTGCCTGCCTTCTCCCAGGAGCAGCAGAAAATGGTGCAGGTTTTCTCTGTCCAGTCGGGGATGAACTACCAGGTGTCTCAGAAGTGAGTGCTAGGCCGGGCGTGGTGGCTCACGCCTGTAATCCCAGCACTTTGGGAGGCCGAGGTGGGCGAATCACGAGGTCAGGAGATCGAGACCATCCTGGCTAACACGGTGAAACCCCGTCTCTACCGAAAATAGAAAAAAAAATTAGCCAGTTCCCAGCTTGACTTTTCCCTTTAGCTTAGTGATTTTGGGATCCCAAGATTTATTTTCCTTTCACAGTTCCGTGGATCTTGTTCCTTTGTTGGTAGACATTTGGCTTTTCAGGGTTGGTAGACATTTGGCTTTTCACAGGGTTCCTTCTGCTGCAATAAATTCCAGAAAACACAGACATGTTTCTGTTGCATAGATTAAGAAATGGCATTGTATTGTCAGAGTGTCTCCACTTGGGTCCTAATGGATGTTACCTGTCCTTCCCCCACCACAGCTGCCTTCATAACAACCAGTGTGACTTCGTCCAAGCTCCTCATGTTCTTGCACGGCCCAAGGTGAGGTCTAGGAATTCAGGCCAAGTGAGCAGAGGTTGGGTGACCTGGGGATGGAACTTTGGGCTTCCGGCTCTGCTGATCTCCCAGCTCCCTCCTGCACTTCCTCTCGGCCAAGGGCAAGATCCCAGAGAAGGCCCTCACATAGACTGACCTAGGATTCTGAAAACAAAGCCCTAAAAGGAAATCCTTAAGTGTCATAATCTTCAGCCTCATCATCTTCCTTGTATTTTTATTCCAATAGATGTATTTCCCTGTGACTGAACCAGGAGATCTGGCTCGGGCTAAGAAACCAAAGCCCAACTCACAGGGTTGACTCTCATCCTTCCAAAGGGGTCAGTTCTGTGCACTTGTCCACCCCTGTCACCCCCAGGATCTCTGTTTCTTTTCACAATAAAGAATGATGTTGCTTGTTATGTCAAATCCCTGCAAAATCCATTTGAGTCGGGCATTATGATCTCTGTTCTACGGAAAAGGAAAGGAATATTCAGAGAGAATGAGTAATTCCTGGGAAATCCCAGAGTAGAGTCTCAAATCTTGGACCCAGCCTTAGGACAGAGCTGTGCTCCAGAGGCCCATGTGGCTTCCAAGGTGGGGAGTGCTCTCTAACCCTGTTAAACCTGGAGGCTAATATTCTATGTCCCTAGTCCATCAAGTAAGATATTTTTTATGCAGAGAACATTATTACTTTCTTAGCCATACAAATCTATTCAAATTTAAAAACAACCCATTTGGGGAAAAATAGCATTAAAGAATGCATGAAAACCTGGGAAGAAAAAATTGCCCACATATATGATGGACATAGGATTAATAGTCTTCATATATAAAGAAATCAGTAGAGAGAAGGGAAAGTGATATCAATCTCAAATCGTTATAAAAAGCAGTTGCAGCTGGGCACGGTGGCTCAAGCCTGTAATCCCAGCACTTTGGCAGGCTGAGGCAGACGGATCACTTGTCAGGTGTTCAAGACCAGCCTGACCAAAATGGTGAAACCTTGTCTCTACTAAAACTACAAAAATTAGCCAGGTATGGTGATACATGCCTGTAGTCCCAGCTACTCTGGAGGCTGAGGCAGGAGAATCGCTTGAACCCAGGAAACAGAGGTTGCACTGAGCCGAGATTGCACCACTGCACTTCAGCCTGGGTGACAGAGCAACACCCTGTCTCCAAAATAGTAGTAATAATAATTTCAAAGTAAAAAATAAAAAAGCAATTGCAGTGGCCCCCCAAAATCTATGAAAAGCTATCCAACTATAATAACTACAAAAACATAACTGCAGTCATTGAGATAAGATGGTAATTTAGAAGAAAAAGCTAAAAACATTTTCAGAAAAATAACATTGTGTGTGTGCACGCACATGTGCATGTGGGGAATCGTGTCTGTATTGACGTAGTAGTTTCCTAGAGCTGCCATAATAAAGTACCACAAACTAGGTGGTTTAAAACTGCACAGATTTCTTTTCTCACAGTTCTGGAGGTCAGAAATCCAGAATCAAGATGCCAGTAGGGCCATGCTCTGTCCAAAGGCTCTAGCGGAGAATTCTTCCTTGCCTCTTCCAGCTTCTGGTTGCTGCTGATGATTTTTAGCTTGTGGCAGCATAACTGGTATCTCTGCCTCCATCTTCACATTGTCTTTTTTTCAGTGTCTTCTTTCCTTTCAAAGTCACTCACTGGATTTATAGTTCACCCTAATCCAGGGTAATTTCATATCTAGATCCCTACATTAATATCTGCAAAGACATTTATTCCAAATAAAGTCCCATTCTGAAGTTCCAGGTGACATATCTTTTGGAGGCCACTCTTCAACCTCCTACGTTGTACCCTCTGGTCCCTGAAAATTCCTATCCATCTAATGTGAAAAATACATTCACCCCGTCCCACCATATCCAAAAGTGAATGCAGTCCAGCATCAACTGTAAGTCACATATCCTGTCTAAATACCATCAACTCAAAAAGTCCCAAATATCATCTAAAGCAGGTATGAGTGAAATCTGATCTATGAACCATGTAGGGGCAAAATTCCTTTCCATCTGTGGACTTGTAAAACCAGAAAACAAGCAACCTGCTTCCAAAATTCATTGGCAGGACAGGTATAGAATACACATCCCCATTCTGAAGGGGAGAATATGAAATAATAAAAGCAGTCACTGATTCAAGCATGTTTGAAATCTAGCAGGGTTTTGCTGGGCGTGGTGGCTCACACTTATAATCCCAGCACTTTGGGAGGCTGAGGCAGGTGGATCACTTGAGGTCTGGAATTTTAGACCAGCCTGGCCAACATGGTGAAACCCTGTCTCTACTAAAAATACAAAAATGAGCCAGGCATGGTGGCAGGCACCTGTAATCCTAGCTACTCGGGAGGCTGAGGCAGGAGAATTGTTTGAACCCGGGAGGTAGAGGTTGCACTGAGCCAAAATTACACCACTGCACTTCAGCCTGGGCGACAGAGTGAGATTCTGCCTTAAAAAACAAAAAACAGAAACCTGGCAGGGTTTCAAGGCCTGAGAATTACCCTCTGGGGCTTGATGCTTTATTGTCTGGGCCACAAAGGCATCACTGCTCTACTGGCCGCCTCCTCTGTATCCATGGCTCTGCCCTCTGAGTCTTTCTTCCTTTATCTTAAAGGATGTCAGATGTTGCCGGGCGCGGTGGCTCAAGCCTGTAATCCCAGCACTTTGGGAGGCCGAGACGGGCGGATCACGAGGTCAGGAGATCGAGACCATCCTGGCTAACACGGTGAAACCCCGTCTCTACTAAAAATACAAAAAACTAGCCGGGCGAGGTGGCGGGCGCCTGTAGTCCCAGCTACTCCGGAGGCTGAGGCAGGAGAATGGCGTAAACCCGGGAGGCGGAGCTTGCAGTGAGCTGAGATCCGGCCACTGCACTCCAGCCTGGGCGACAGAGCAAGACTCCGTCAAAAAAAAAAAAAAAAAAAAAAAAAGGATGTCAGATGTTAACAGTCAAGTAACTCTATCATCCTTTTTACTGCCTGTAGAATCCTAGATGTCTGATAGCTTTCTTTCATTTTTCCCTTTTTTTGTTTTCTTCAGGTCAAGCTGGCAGTGTTTTTAGTGGTATAACGTTCTTCTAAAAAAACCTTGTGGGTCTCCTGTGTGTGTCAAAGGGATCCATGCCATCAGACGAGGATTATCCACAGATCCTTTCTGGATACTATATATTTTTCCTTGATTGGGCTTAGAGGATTGATTGGATTTATTAATCACACATTAAATGTCTTTAGCAAAAGATATCCAACCACATTCTTGGCTCTTTATCCAAAACACACTTAAAATCTTTCATGTGTTTATTGCTACTTGTATGTCTTCTTTGGAGAAATGTCTAAGTCCTTTGCCCATTTTTGAATTGGGTTGTTTTCTGTTGTTGTTCTTGCTGAGTTGTGGGAGTTCTTTATATTTTCTAGATATTAATCTCTTATCAGATATATGATTTGAAAATATTTTCCCTTTTCATTCCATTGCTACATCCTCTGATGCACAAAAGTCTTTCATTTTGATGTAGTACAATTTATCTGTTATTTTCTTTTGTTTCCTGTTCTTCTAGTGTCATATCCAAGAAATCATTGTGACATCCAATATTATGAGGCTTGTCCCTGTGTCTTCTGCTAAGAGTTTCATGCTTTTAGCTCTTATAATTTTATCTTTCATCCATTTTGAGTTAATTTTTGTTTATGGTATAATGTAAGGGTATAACTTCATTCTTTCCTGTGTGGATATCCAGTTTTCACAACAACATTTGTTGAAAAGACTGTACTTTCCTCACTGAACACTCTTTGCACCCTGTTGAAAAGCATTTGACCATTTATGCCAGGATTTGTTTTTAGACTACCAATTCTATTTGTTTACATGTCTGTCATTCTGCCAGTACCACTGTTTTGATTACTGTATCATTGTATTCAGCTTTGAAATCAGGATGTGGGAGACTTCAAACTTTGTTCTTTTTCAAGATTGTTTTGGCTAATCGGGTCCTTTGAGTTTCCATATGAATTTTAGGATAGATTTTGATTTCTGCAAGAAAATCATTGTGATGTCGATAGGGATTGCATTGAATCCATAGATCACTTTGGGTAGTATTGATATTTTAACAATACAATGTCTTCTAATCCATGAACACAGGATGTCTTGCATTTATTTGTCTTCTTAAATTTCTTTCAGTAACATTTTGTACTTTTTAGTGTACAAGTCTTTCGCTTCCTTGGTTAAGTTTAATCATAAGTACTTTAAATGGAATTGTTTTTTAATTATTCTTTCAGATTGCTCACTGTTAGTGTATAGAAATGTAAATAATTTTTTTTTTAAGAGCCAGAGTTTCACTCTGTCACTCAGGCTGGAGTGCAGTGGTGTGATCATAGCTCACTGTAACCTTGAACTCCTGCACTCAGGCAATCCTCCTGTTTCAGCCTCCTGAGTTGCTAGGACTATAGGCATGTACCACCACAGGTGGCTAATTTTTAAAATAATTTTTTTTGTAGATCAGAGTCTTGCTATATTGCCCAGGCTGGTCTCAAACTCATGGCCTCAAGCAATGCTCTCACCTCAGCCTCCCAAAGTACTGGGATTAGAGGAATGAGTTACTACACCCAGCCTTGTATATTGATTTTGTAGCCATCAACATTGCTGAATTCATTTATTACTTCTCACAGATTTTTGGTGGAGTCTTTAGGATTTTCCACGTATAAAATTATTTCCACTGCAAACAGGACTAACTAATTTTATTTCTTGTCTAACCTGAATGCCTTTTTACTTATTTTGCTTGCTTAATTGTTCTGGCTAGGACTTCCAGTACTGTGTTGAATAGAAATGGCATGAGTGGCCATTCTTTTCTTATTCCAATCTTAGAGGAAAAATTTTCAGTCTCTCACCATTGAGTATGATTTTACTTGTGGGTTTTTCATATATGGCCTTTATTACGTTAACATAATTTCCTTCTATTCCTAGTTTATTGAGTGTTTTCAATTGTGAAAGGGTATAAGTTTTGTCAAATGCTTTTTCTAAATTGAGATAATTATGTGCATTTTCCCCCTTCATTCTGTTAATGTGGTACATTACATTACTTGATTTTTATATGTTGAAGCACACTTGTATTCCAGGAATAAATCCCACTTAGTCATCGTGTATAACCTTTTAATATCCTGTTGAATTTAGCTTGCAAGTATTTTTTTGAGGATATTTGCATCAGTATCCATAAGGGGTACTGTTCTATAGTTTTCTTGTAATACCTTTGAAATTATTTCAAAAGTTATATTTACACTGCACTATAGTCTATTAAGTGTGCAATAGCATTATGTTTAGAAAAATGTTGGCTGGGCACGTGGCTCACGCCTGTAATCCCAGCACTTTGGGAGGTCGAGACGGGTGGATCACGAGGTCAGGAGATCGAGACCATCCTGGCTAACACGGTGAAAC